CAGAGAGGCACTATCTGGACCACCACCACTGGCTCACCTTCAACCACTACCAATCTACATAACAATCCATCTATTGACACCAACACGCAGCGGGGAATATAACAACAGCGTCACTATAACAGGTGGTAGAGAGAGTGAGTGAGTACAGGGCTGTGTTGGAGTTGGGTTGGATTATAGGTAGTCTGGATTGGGTTAGATTGGGTTGGTTTTCTTGGTGTTAGCTTGGGTTAGCTTGATTGGATCGGATTAGATTATGTTAGATTGGGAGAAGCCAAGTTGGGTTTAAGTTAAGATGGGTTAAATTAAGTTATTGTTGGGTTGACTTAGGTTAGGTTGGTGTTAAATTAGGTTAGGTTAGATTAGACTGGGTGGAGTTGGTGTTGGTTAGGTGAGGTTGAGAGTGATTCATGGTGGGTGTGGTGGAGGTGTGAGACAGGTGTTTGTGACAGGTGTGGGTGAGGTGTGCGGGATAGGGCGGCGTGCGAGTGTGGCATGTGGGAGAGGGTGGCGTGTGAGTGTGGCGTGTGAGAGAGAGCGGCGTGTGAGTATGGCGTGTGAGAGAGGGCGACGAGTGAGAGAGGGCGACGAGTGAGTGTGGCGGGTGAGTGTGGCGTGTGAGAGAGGGCGGTGTGTGTGTGTGTGCTCAACCTCTCATTCGTCAAGCACTTAGGCAAAGCCAGGAAAGTAAATATTGACACTGATATGGTGTGCCAGAATCCCTCCAGAGGCACCAGCTGTGACAAGTGAGAGGGGGAGGGAGGGGGGGGCTATATGTATCCATCTGAAAGGAAGGTGAAGTGGGAAAGGAGGGAGAGGAGAAGGAATGGATACAGGTGAAGGAACAGAATCCAACTATCTATCTGGAGGGAGGGAAGCAGTGAGCATCTATCTAGGAGGAGGGGTAAAGGGGGTGGATAGGAGGATGCAACTAAATATATCCAACTGGAGGGAAGGTGAAGGAGGGAGGGAAGGAGGGCGGAATCTGCATCTTGAGGGGAGGAGTGAAAGGAGGGAAGGAGGAAAAGAGGTCGCGTGTAAATCTATATCACTAGAGAGAGAGAGAGAGAGAGAGAGAGAGAGAGAGAAAAAACAAGGAAGAGAAATAAATTGAGAAAAGTTATCAACATCCATCCATCTAATCGTTCAATATATCTATCGATCTATCAACCTAACTTAACAACAATTTAACTATCCGTCAATATACCTATTCATCTAACAACCTATCTACCCATCTATCCATCAATAATACCTATCATCAACATATTCACCTGGTAAACACCTTTATAACAGGTGTGGATTAAGTAAGGCAAATATCGTCCCCCCCCCCTTGCATGAAGAGAGCCAACCTTCACTACAGACAGACCCAGTAACAACACGGTGAAGATAATGCCCCAGGAAAATCTGCATATTAAGTTTGGCCAACAGTGGAGGTAACCCAACACCACCACCTCACACTAGGCAATAACAATACTGTGAAAATAACGTTCGTTGCCACAGAAAATATGGGTAAAGTAGAGAAAACACATAGAGGTAAAAATAAGGGGGATATTAAAACATGGGGGAGGAGGGAGGATGAGGGTAAAGGTGAGGAGAAGGAAAATGAATAAAACTGAATATAATAATAAATAATAATAATAATAATAATAATAATAATAATAATAATAATAATAATAATAATAATAATAATAATAATTATAATAATAATAATAATAATAATAATAATAATAATAATAATAATATCAACAGTTTGTGCGTGAAACCACCAATGGAATAGAGAAGTAAGTTCCTTGGATTTATTTCAGGGGTTCAAAAGATGACAAGGCAGTTTTGAGAGAAGGGGAGAAAGAGAGGTGTGGGGTGTGGGTGCTGGGGTTAAGGTCTATCTGAGAACAACTGATCAAGCGTGCAATGGAGGTGTGTAGGGGGGGGGGCCGAGTCATGCTGTAGGTCCTGACACCAACACACACACACACATACACCCACACACACACATACACAGTATTAATGATCATCTGTGGCAGGTGAAGGTGGAGAGGGCGGGGCCAGGTGACCAGGTGTTGACTGGTACGGGAGTGAAAGAACTCGTACTACCATCGTGAGGGGGAAGGTTAAAGAAGTACCAGGGAGGGAGGACAGGTAGTATCAGGGAGGGTGGACAGGTAGTATCGGGGAGGGTGGACAGGTAGTATTGATAGGGAGGGTGGACAGGTAGTATCAGGGAGGGGTGGACAGGTAGTATCAGGGAGGGTGGACAGGTAGTATCCAGGTAGTATCAGAGGGTGGACAGGTAGTATCAGAGAGGTGGGACAGGGGAGGGTGGACAGGTAGTATCAGAGAGATTGGACAGGTAGTATCAGGGGAGGTGGGCAGGTAGTATCAGAGAGGGTGGACAGGTAGTATCAGGAGGGAGGACAGGTAGTATCAGGGAGGGTGGACAGGTAGTATAAGAGAGGTTGGACAGGTAGTATAAGAGAGGTGGACCAGGAGGTACAGGTGGTATCAGGAGGGTGGACAGGTAGGGAGGGTGGACAGGTAGTATCAGGGAGGTGGACAGGTAGTATCAGGGAGGTTGGACAGGTAGTATCAGGAGGGTGGACAGGTAGTATCAGGAGGGTGGACAGGTAGTATCAGAGAGGGTGGACAGGTAGTATAAGAGAGGTATCAGGGAGGTGGACAGGTAGTATCAGAGAGGGTGGACAGGTAGTATAAGAGAGGGTGGACAGGTAGTATCAGGGAGGGTGGACAGGTAGTATCAGGGAGGGTGGACAGGTAGTACCAGGGAGGGTGGACAGGTCAGAGAGGGTAGACAGGTAACACTCACTACAAGAACACAGAACACAACACACCGTCTTATAATGAACACCATTCACACCTGTAATTAAATCATTATCCACATCTGTATATTACCCACATAGGTAATCAAAGCATACTCCAGAACTATACCTACTCCACACCTGTATATTATCCAACACTTGTAACCAGTCTTAAAGTTCTGTACTCTCCCCTCTATTATATAACTACTTCTGTATTATAACCCACACTTGGTATATTAGACACTCCCCACCTTTATATAACCCGAAGTTAATATATTTAAAACACGTTCCACCTTTATATAACCCACAGTTAGTATAAAGCACACGCTCCACCTTATATAACCCACACTTGGTATATAGCACTCGCTCCACCTTATATAACCCACACTTGGTAAATAGGACACCCTCACTTCTAAATTCCATGCACCTGACCCCCGCTCCGCCCTTATCAACCGGATGTGTATACTGACGAGATTTAATTAAGTAACTCCTCACGCCTTATCCCGAGCTACCACATTTTGATTGCTTCATTAGGCTTTCCCCTCTTACCTATTCTCCCACTCACTCACTTAACTGTCACTCATATGCTAAAACTTACATAAAAGTTGAATTTAACAACGGCCTCCAGATGTCTGCCCACCATACACTCTCTGTAATTAATCCAATCCTTTTATATAGTACATACATCGCCTCTATTTAATTTATCGTGGTATAACGTACACACCAACACAAGTCCTTTCATATATCAGGAACACTATAGTCCCATATATGCTTATTGTATAGGTATTTTTTGTTGTGTTTTTCTAGCTATATATTTTGTTGTTATTACTGTATTATTATTATTATTATTATTATTATTATTATTATTATTATTATTATTATTATTAGGGGTACAGAAAGCTAGTGAACACAAAGTTTTAATGTCATCATGTTTCCCCAGAAAGTAAGAAGACAATGTTTCTCTCGTGTTTCTTAATTATTTCTTTGTTTTCTCTCTCATGCAGGTAATACTTAGCCATCACCCCCTTTAGCCCTGGGCCAGGTGACACGTATAGCAGTTTGTCTTCATCCACAACAAACACAACCTCTTTTTTTTTTTTTTACCCCTTTTTAGTTTAGTCTTTTTCTAAGTATTTTATCTGGGTCAAAGGTCAATTAACCCTAGACCGTATATGTCCAGCTGTTGTTTCTCATGTGTTTTTTTTTAGTTGGTGTTTGACTCCAGTGTGAATCGTGTGTGTTGTGGTATGTTACGGTTGTAGTCATATTTAGACGAGATAAGATAAAAGGTGGCATATATAAAGTACCCTGTTATGGTCTACATGATGTTTTTTTTACTGAATTGAGATAATGTGGATTTTGGGTCATTCTTTTAGGAAGCAAAGTTTAAAAGAAATACCAAAATTTTGAAGAGATTTTAGTCAATTATTCGGCCGTGAATTAAATATACTCATGACCAAGTACCACGATACTTTAGTCCAAGTCTTAAACATTGATAGAAATCGATTTGTTCTTTTGTGTATTTTCACCTTTATACTCGAGTCCTTTTACCTGGGAATATGTACACAAATGACTCGTTTACCACCTTCAAACATCAGTACAGATAGATAAAAGACAAGATCTGTATATTTCCCTTTTGACTATGTTACGGGGTTCATAGGGAGCACATATGAACACCCTGTTGAACAAGTGAACATCCTGGTGAACAAACAAACACTGATAAACAAGTGAAAACCCAAATGAACAAGTGAACAACCTGGTAAGCAAGTGAACACTCCAATAAATAAGTGAACATCCTGAAGAACCAGTGAACACCCCAATGAATACGTTAACACCCTGGGGAACAAGTAAACACCCTGGTGAACAAGCAAATACCCCGATTAACAAGTGAACACCTTAATGAACAAGTGAAAACCCTAATGAGCAAGTAAACACCCTGGTGAACATTCTGGAGAGAACAAGACACATAGGGTGAATGAACACCCTGGAAAACAAGTGAATATAGGGGTAAATGAACACCTTAATGAACAAGTGAACACTTTAGAAAACAACAGAACATGGAGTAAATGAATAACATGCAAAACAAGTGTTTATGGGGGTGAATGAACATCCTGGAGAACGAGTGAACATGGGGGTAAATGACCCCTCTGTAGAGTAAGTGGAGGGACAAGAGTAAGGACACAACACTTACTTCTCGCTCTTGGGGATGACCATCGGGGCGTAGTCAGGGTCATAGAACTCCTCGAAGTCCTGAGCGGCGGGTTCGGCAGAGATGGCCGTCCTCTTGACCCTGGCCTCGGCTCCCTCGCACACGCCCTCGCAGATCCCCGCGTAAGAGGAGGGCGGGGTGTAGAAGCGGTCATTTTGGAGGCTATTGCGGTTATGATGTTCGTTGTTGTTGTTGCGGCAAGTCAAAGAACGTAGGGAAATCCGACCGTGCAAAGAGTTAGCTCTACCCGTGAGAGGCGGCAACACCGAGCGTAGTTTGTCAAGTTGGGTGTTAAGGGTGGCAATGGTGGCTTCCTTCTCACGCAATTCGTCCTCCAGTTGTTTGATGGCATTGTCCTTGACGGAGAGGGTCTCGAGGGCGGTGGCCAGGGCAGCCTGAGTGTCACGCAGGGAGGCGCGCCCCTTCAAGGAGTTCCCGAGACCCATGGGCGGTGCGCGACCATTGCCGCCCTCACCGCCGCCACTACGACTCTTAAACCACTTCTGCATTATGCAACACTTTCACAACAACACTATGATGATCATCGTCGTCTGGCGAACACCACATGAGCAGTACACTAAGCACACATCACGGATCTACACTTAGCACTGACCCCTCGTCCGGCCACCCTCCCTGATCCAGCTGTACGTACACCTATGACCGGGGGCTTTAGAGGCGTGGCTAAGACTCGTAGATCCGTGGCCAGGAGCCGCTAGTGGTCACTCAGACATCACCTCCACCAGCACCACCGCAATACCTCGCACCATCCAGTAAAGTGTGACACTCTAATGTTGCATACTAGTTGTGTCGCGCTATACAACTTTACCCACACATCTGGATATTAAACCACTGTACTGCACAAAATATATGTTTTGATTAATGAGTAATGACACCTAGTGGTAACGTAAAGAAGTACACAGTATTACACACCTCGACAACAAAGTAAACATAGTCTTCTGCTGGAGAAAGTCACCCCCAGGCTGCAGCATTAACACAAACAACTAACACTACTACGACCATTAGGGTTAATATGAAGAATGAATTACTATGACAATGGCAAACAAGTTCCTAGACATTTACCTCTGCTTCGAAATTACCGTAAAACTTCACACAAAATAAAACAAAGCTCCAGACTGTCTCGAGGCACAAGCGCACTTCCTGAGTAATGTGTAATTAAAGTCCCACTTAATTATATATTATATTAGTTTTATGAATTAAAAAGTCATCAATATCACAAACAATTATATTCATATCCACAATCATGCTGCCGTAAAAGGAAATAATGATTCTTTGTTATAATACAGTTACACCAACAACAGTAGAAGTAACAACAGTAGCAGTAACAACAACAACAGTAACAACAACAATAATAATAATAATAAAATAAAAATAAAATATACACAAACCACAATCAGAGTTCGTAAGGTTGAAGAGATGCAGCGTGGTGACCTAAAGAGATAGTATACGACAGGTAACTTATCTCTGAATCCAGCTGTACACCTCACAGGCCACCGCCAGCCTGAGGGCCGCGAGTCAGGCTCCTACCGTGTCAACAAACAATCTTCACCTTCCCTTCCTGAGGCTACCACAGCAACGCTCTTACGGCCCTCCACAGTCCCCCCCCTCCCTCCCTGCACTACGACCTTGCTAGCACATCCCCAAAAAAAAAAATCACAGAAAATTTGTTCACTGTCAATCGGTAAAAAAAAAAAAAAAATACCTGGCGCCGTCACGTGAAAACACAATAGTTTCAAGTGTCACTCCATGGGAGATGTTTCACTAAATCACCAAGGAACGTTTGATCATACTAGAAATATTTCACTGGACTGATAATCAAGTGTTCATCAAGGAGAAACGTTTTCGTGGGTGGGGAACGCCCCTCTAGAATACCACGTTCAGTATCGGTTGAAGGAAAACGTTACACTGATACACTACACAAATGACGATCGTGGGAAGAATAAGTGCCAGCGGAGAGTAGCATTCATAACTGAGAACACAAGTACTCAGGAAGCCACTCACTGTCGTCACAGAGGCTCTAACACACTGCTATAAATAACTCCTAAGTGTGGGCAGGACACAACAGAAGGAGCGGGCCGGCACCGTCCCTCACGGCTGACCAGTGCACTCTGCCCTCACTAGGCTCACGCGAGGCCAAACCTGCATAGAAAGTACTACCCCTCCTCCCCACTCCAACTACCCCTCCTACACTCTCACTACCCCTCCCACTACCCCTCTCCCCACTCCTACTACCCCTCCTCCACTCTCACTACCCCTCCTCCACTCCTACTTCCCCTTCCCCCACTCCTACTACCCCTCTCCTACCCCTCCTCCCTCTCCTACCCCTCTCCACTCTTACTACCCCTCCCCTACTACCCCTCTCCCCACTCCTACTACCTCCCTCCCTCTCACTACCCCTCCTCCCTCCCTACACCCCTTCCCCAACTCCTACCCCTCCTCCCACTCTCCACTACCCCTCCCCTCCCTCTTACTACCTCCTACTACCCCTCTCCCCCTCCTACCTACCCCTCCCTCCCTCTCTCCCCTACCCCTCCTCCCCTCTTACCCCTCCCTACTACCCCTCTCCCCTCCCTACCCCTCCTCCCTCTCACTACCCCCTCCCTCCCTACCCTTCCCCCAACTCCCTACTACTCCTCTCCCCCTCCTACCTCCTCCCTCTCTACCCTCCTCCCTCCCCTACGCCCTCTCCCCTCCCTACTACCCTCCTCCCCCTCCCCTACTACTCCTCTCCCCACTCCCTACTACCCCTCCTACACTCCCTACCCCTCTCCCCCACTCCTACTACCCCTCCTCCCTCACTACCCCTCCTCCCTTTCTTACTACGCCCTCTCCCCTCCTACCCCTCTCCCCTCCCTACTCCTCTCCCCCCTCCCCTACTACCCCTCCTCCCTCCTACTACCCCTCCTCCCTCCTACTACCCCTCCCTCCCTCCCTCCCCCCCCTCCCCACCCCCCCTCCTACCTCCCTCCTACCCCTCCCTCCTCCCCCCCCTCCTGCACTCCTACCCCTTCCCCCACTCCTCTACCCCTCCTCCTGTTCCCATTACCCCCCCTCCTACTACCCCTCCCCTCCTACCCCTTTCTCACTTCTACTACTCCTCCGCCTCCGACTCCTGCCACCCCTCCCCATGGTGTGACATTTTACAATCACATTATCTTCACTCGTTGACATTCAGTTTAGTTTTTCTCTTCACGTAATAAGAGAAAACGATACGTCATCCTCGTCTAGTACAACAGGTAGCAGTGTTAACAAGCAAACTTAGTATCACACTCTGGCCTTACACCCACACCCCCCTGTGTTGACTTAATGTCTTGATATATGATTAATTAAGCTAACATAACAAGAGGTAGGTATTGCTGGCATGGTATGAAGCAGAGCATTATTGAGGTGGATCAAACACTCACTGTATTAAAAACTGGAGGACTAATGACCCACTTTTTCCTCTCTCACTGATATTCTTTTATATAATAAATACTAATATGTGAAGCAGTGGCCTTTCCTTTCTTTAACCTTCAACGTTCCTTTGATTAAGTCGTGTGGTGGACGGTGTATAGGCGAGACAGACGCACGCACGCAGTTCCAAATATAGAAACATGATCTTAAACATGCCAGAGTTACTCACGAGTATACTTCTAAATATGCATATGTGGTCTTCATCATATTCTCGAATATACCCCCACCAAAACAAAACTACAAAATATAATAAAAAAAAACGTGAAGGTTACTTTATATCAATTGATTTCTAAGGATATATTTTTAGCCTCTCTCTGAATAAGTAGATGGTGTTAGTCAGCCAGAGCGAGAAGAGAAGAGGAGAGGAGAAGAGAAGAGAGGAGAGAAGAGGAAGAACATAAAAAAATAAGGAGTCTGCAATAGGTCGGTTGGCCTGTGCATGGCATCTCCTGCCGTGTTACAACCACTCTCTATCGTCCATGAATCTAGGAAGAGGAAGAAGAGGAAGAGAAGAGGAAGAAGAGAAGAAAGAGAGAGGGAGAGACGTACACACACAAGATACTCCACGTTCTCATTTATCTTAGTACAATGACGGCCTGGGTCTTAAAGCGGCGTTCACTATATGTATCTGTTTATAATACACTCGTCATTCACCAACAGGGAGACACGACCACAACCTACTAGTTACTAAAAAAGTTAATAATACTTATTTCTAAACTCCGAAGTTACGAAATGGAATACTCCGTTCTTTAAACATGTGTGTGTGTGTGTGTGTGTGTGTGTGTGTGTGTTGTGTGTGTGTGTGTGTGTGTGTTTAATGCCCATACTCAACTTAAACATCTAAAGATAAACATTGGCTTTACATTATACAAATAAAAATGTATTAAGACAATAAAAAAACGAACGTAATCCAACCTTAACGTGACCTAAATTGACGTAACCTAACCTAAACTTGTGTATCCTAACCTAACCTAACTTAATCTAACTTAACCATGCTTAACATAGGACAATGAAGCCCCAAATAAACTAACATAACTTAAAACATAACTTAATCTAACCCAACTATACATTAATAAGTAACATGACACATAATATTAACCTCAATGTCGTATAAGAAACGACCCATAACTTCACGAAACGGCCGACGTCGACAACCACCTGTATTACGAACACGGACGACCACGTACCAGAAAGTTCACTCTAAGTACTGTGTTGTTCTTCATCAAAGGTTATCAGTGTTAAAAAAATATAACCCAACCAGATGATAAATATCTTTGTCACTATGACCTGTCAAGCATAAATCCTGCCAGGTATTGTGAACAACTAATAAGACTAACAAGTTTAGTTTATTAACAGGTATGTGCTGTGTATAACAAAGACAACCTGAAATTTTACGTAAACTGACAAGTAAAATATACAACTAATCCTAAAAACAAGTAAACAAAAAGGTACTTCTATTTAATCAGACAGGTAATGTGTATAACTAATCACAGCAGATAACGCGGCAGGTAATAAGACTCTCGTATAAATATTCAAATTAACACGAAGGACCTGACAGCAATAGTGTCTCGTTAGTTTCTCATCAAGATCCAGGCAACGTTTGTCAGGTATCCACACAAACTTTCTTCTTGCTGGATTTCGTTATCAAGAGAATGATAACGAAAAAAAAAATCGTTTCATTGTTCTTTGTCATAAATTCTTGATCTATGAGTACGACAACCCCTTGAGTACGATGACTTAATCTTATGAGTCGTACTGAAGAGGTTATTCATCGTACTCAATAGGTTAATACGTACTCAACGTTATCAATGTGTACTTGTATTGGCACTTCATAATAAACTTTCTAAATCTGGTATAAGGTCTTTAGTTTCCCTTGAATGAATTTCGTTATGATTTTCCAGACAAGAACAAAGAGACTTAATCGTTAGACAATTCTACTTAAACAATTAAAAATTTTCCATTTCGTTTGCTTGTGGTTGATAACGAATAAACAAAATTATCAACTAACTAACTACCTTTAATTACCTAATACAGTAATGAATTGCGTTATCAGGTGAGTGAATGAATTTCGTTTATTAATTGAGTGATATGAAAAGACGTTGTCACTAGCCAACCCATCAATAAGGAAGGATGGTGACGTTATCAGCCAGAGTTAAATGATAGTGCAAGTGGGTGATGGGAGGAAGGAGGGAGGGAGGGTAGTCAGAGGTGACCTTTACATTACTCCACTTTCTCCAAGGGGGTCAAACTCCACGCTAGTTTATTTTACTCCATTCACAAGGCAAAATACACACACACACACACACACACACACACACACACACACACACACACACACACACACACACACACACACACACACACACACACACACACACACACACACACACACACACACACACACACATTAAAAAACAAAACA